ACACACACACACACACACACACACAGTAACACACACACAGTAACACACACACACACAGTAACACACACACAGTAACACACACACACACAGTAACACACACACACAGTAACACACACACACACACACAGTAACACACACACACACACACTCAGCTTGCTGTCAGAACTTGTGTTTTCATGTTCAGTCATTGGTTAGGACCAGTTAGGTTAATTTTTTATTGGCGTAATGGACTGTGTGTTAATTAACGTAGACGTCATATCGAAAGCAGTTCAGCTCTGATGAGAAAGTAAACGTGATCTGGGCTCAGGACCAAATTATTGATTATAACAGGATCAATAACCCGTCTCTTCCCGTGTGCCAGCTGTGTCCTCAGTACTGGCCGGAGAACGGCCTCCATCGCCTCGGATCGCTGCAGGTCGAGTTCGTCTCCGCAGATCTCGAGGAGGACGTCATCAGCCGCATCTTCAGGATCTATAATACAGCCAGGGTGCGTTTCTTTCATGCTCCTCCACCTCCCCCCACCGATCAGTCTCCACCAGAGTGACTCTGCACTGAACCTGGATGTTCGTATCTTGTGGCTCCTGGAGATGGTCCTGCAGCTGTTGCATCGCTGAAAACAAGCAGCAGGAGTTGAGCTGCAGTTTCACAGACCTGCGATGAGTTTGAGCAGACTGATGATCAGCTGCAGTATTTCTCTGAGGGTTTGCTTGATTTTCACCCCTTTACACCCCAGGTATTCAGGGCGCATTTGATTTCTGCCTGATTGTCTTCTGCTGTGCTTGTATTTGATCCAAACCTCTGCTTTCTGTCCTGTTTCACCAAATTTAGATCAGAGTGTGTTTGATTTAAATCTCTTCACCTCCCTGTCAGGCACACTTTAAGTTTCAGTGCGTTTGATTTGTGCCTCATTTCCTCCCTGCGTCTCGCCAAATATCGTCCGTGTTTGATCCAGACTCCCGTCTCCACCTGCCTCGCTGTGGCAGGTCGGATTTAGCTTTCAGTGCGTTTGATTTAAAGCCTTTCTCCTCCCTGCCTGCTCACATTAACGTCCTCCCGTCTTGTTCTGTGTAGTCTGACCTCCTTTATTTCATCCTGCAGTCCTTCTCCTTTCCTCATTTCCTTCCCTCCTTCCTTTCTGTGCTCACCTCCTCCTTTTCCTTTCCTGTCTCCTCCGGCCTCATTATCTTCCCTCACTTATCCAGGGTGCGTTTGTTTTTGTGATTTATAATGATAATAATAATAATAATAAGTGATTAGATTTATGAAGCACTTTTCTTACTCAGGGGGTAACTCAAAGCGCGTACACTGTCAGTTATTCATTCACACACATTCATCCCGGTGGTGGTAGCTCCGGTTGTAGCCTCAGCTGCCCCGGGGCAGACTGGCAGAGGCCTGGCTGCCATCCTGCCCTCTGACCACCTCAACAGTCTACCCGTACACATCCACACCAGGCAGGTGGTGAAGTGTCCTGCCCCAGGACACAACGACCAGGACACAGGTTACAGAATGGAACCGCCGACCTTCCGATCACTGACCGAACCGCTGTACCACCAGAACCACAGCCGCCCTTTATTTATTCCCTCCATTCATGATCATTTGTACACTGAGTGAGCTTGTTTTCACCACCCTGTCACCCCTGTGTCCCCCAGCCGCAGGACGGGTACCGCATGGTGCAGCAGTTCCAGTTCCTGGGCTGGCCGATGTACCGCGACACGCCCGTGTCCAAGCGCTCCTTCCTCAAACTGGTTCACCAGGTGGACAAATGGCAGGACGAGTACGACGGCGGCGAGGGACGCACCGTGGTGCACTGCCTGTAGGTACACACAGTACTGCAATACATGTAGTACTACAGTAGTACTACTGTAGTATCAGCAGTACTACTGTAGTACTACTGTAGTATCAGTAGTAGTACTGGTCAGAATGTGGAATCACAGATTTTAACTTTAGAACTGCTCCTCCAATGGTGTCCACTGAATGTAAGAGTACACACAGTACTGCAATACATGTGATACTGCTGCAACAAATTGCCACTGACGCTGTCCAACAGCTAGAGTACTGTCAGTGCTGACACAGTAGTACTGCTAACGCTCCAGGAGTACTTCGTATACTCCTCTAGTACTTCAGTAGTCTTTTGTCTCCATCTGGTGGTCAGAATGTGGAAAAACTGATTTGAGCTTATTAACTGCCCTTCTCTCCACCCTCCTGCCCCTCCCTCTGCCTCTCTCCTCCTCCCTCCTGCCCCTCTCTGTTGCCCCTGTCAGGAACGGCGGCGGTCGCAGCGGTGTTTTCTGCAGCATCAGTATCGTGTGTGAGATGTTGCGACAGCAGCGCTGCGTCGACGTCTTTCACGCTGTTAAAACTCTGAGAAACAACAAACCCAACATGGTGGACCTGCTGGTAAACACACCAGTTTATATTCAATTATACTGTATTATACTATACTACATTATACTACATATACTATACTATACAATACTATATTATATTATATTTACTTATATATCAATATCTGTGCTACTTGTCAGGACTAAAGCTGCAGCTTTGACCTGCTGAACTCTGTGTTTTAACAGGATCAATATAAATTCTGTTATGAAGTGGCGCTGGAGTATCTGAACTCTGCTTAGTTCCCCTTCATCACCTCCTGCAGCCTGACGAAGAGGAGGAGGAGGAGCATGAGGCGGAAGAGGAGGAGGAGGAAGAGAAGGAGGAAGAGGAGGAGGAGGAGGAGCATGAAGAGGAGGAGCATGAGGAGGAGGAGGAAGAGGACTACTGACTGACTGAGGAAGAGGAGCAGGAGGAAGATGTTTTGCACTGCCCTGTGTGACTCGGACACTCTGACAGACTCACAGCGTTTCTCACCTCACCTGACTTTGTTGTGTTGTTTTATTGTTTGTTGTCGTTTTGAACCAAAACTTTGTCAGAGTGAGTCTGTGATCAATCGTCCTGATCTGACCTGAGTTCTGTCTCCAGATGTTCTCTTCAGCTCAAACCCCGCCCCCTCCTCACAAACAGGAAGTCACATGTTCACGCTGAGTCCCATTAAAGCAGCAGAAGGTTCTGGAACTAGCTACGGATCTTCATGGAGTTCTGATCTGTCATCTGTTCTGGTTCCATAATCTGATCTGAAGTATCCTGTGTTTGTTTATTATCCATCAGCGATCAATCAATAACCAGCTCAACCTGCGAGTTATTGATCAGTTCTGTAGCCAGGGCTGATCTGATTGGTCAGGACGTCACCGTGACATCAGAGCTCAGATTCAGTTTTAATCAAGTGCTGACATGATTAATCATTTAGCTGATTAGTTGCTCAACATTCACTCAGTTGCCAACAACTGAAATATTTTTCTTATTTAGAGCAGAGAGTAAAAATGCCAAAACTTTCCAAAGGTGTTCAACTTGTCCCGTTTCTAACTAACGCTCCAAACATTCGACCTCCAAAGACATTCAAGTTGTGGACCAACTGTTAGATTATTTAAACCTGTAGAACTATTTAATGGACCGGAGCCCTGAGGAGCCAGGAGTCAACAGAACCGCCATTAGAACATCCGAGAAGCTTCGAGGAGCTGAAATTGAGCTGAAAGAACTAAACAACAGAACCCTAGCAGCTAATCCAAAAACCCGCTGACAGAACATCCTCAACTCATGGACCGCTGGCTGCTGGAGCCTTGGGTGTTTCCATGGCAACAGAGCAAAGTGAGTCTGCTGATGAGGACTGTGAGATTTGGTCAAAAGCACAAGAAAAGATTTCTGAGTTGAGACTGTTTTGGTTTCATGTGTTTTCGTGTTATAGTCTTCGTCCTTCTGTCTTCTTCGCTGGTGTTTGGTCCTCAGTGCTGCATGTTCAACATGAACTGGAGACCCCCATCGTCCGCAGTCCAAACCCTGTCGGATCGGGTCCTTTTGTTCTGTCAGCAGCTGGATGAAGCTGATTGGCTGTCTGTTTCGAGCTGTTAATAGTGTACATAGAGCAGGAGGAAGCAGGAAGAAGAATATTTATTCCTTCAGTTGTTCTTGGTGTCATTGTTGTCGTTCTTGTGAAGCACTCAGAGAGACAATCATGGTGGACGATTTTAATGTTCCACCAACAGAAACACAGTTCGACCACGTCTTGATGTAACCCTACCGACGTATGGCTCTGGTTATATACGGTCTGAGGTGATCCAACCTTTGTGACAGACGTATGGCTCTGGGTGGGTCGTCACTGTGCTGTGGACTGAACCCTGTTGGTGCATGACTGTGGTGCTGATGAGAACAGTATCGTAATGAAAGCTTTTATTTATGTTGTATGATTCCAAGATACCACAAATAAAAAGTCTGCACACACTGCAGCCTGACTCCTGTTTGTCACAGAGGCAGCCAATCAGATCACAGCCCAGTAGCATGTGTCTGCAGAGCTGCACTCTCAGGACCGCCGCTTCTTCTACGGCCGCACGTTGAGAGGCTTTTTTCAAGACAGCGCCACCTACCACAATGAATGATGCCAGAATGTGTGTGTTGTTGCTTTTATTTTTTATTTAATGTTATTATATAGAATAAATAAACAGACATATAATTCTGCCTCCAGAGTCGTCCTCGTGTTTCGTCTCTTTTCAAACTGTCCTGGTCGACGTCTACAGAGCTCAGAGGCCACAGCAGCAGAGTCCAGCATCATTCTACCTGTTCATCAGTGTGTTCATTACACCATTTGTCCAAATGCACGTCTCAGCAACCAGTTATTATTGTCATTAGTAGTATTTTTGGTGGAATAAACCTTTCAAACCTTAACTTATTGGGTAAAAAGCACTATTTGGATGGAAACAACACTTTAACATTACAGGTGCGTGGACATGAAGCAGGACTTAGGATCAACCTTTTAAATTCAAAACATATTTTCAGAGAAATCACACTTTAGAACTAAGTCGTGCATTCTGGCCGTCATTCATTGTGTTAGGTGGCGCTGTCCTGAATAAGAGCCTGTCAACGTGAGAGTGCTGCCTCCGACTCGGCACAGCAGCATGGACACCTGTATGTAGCCTTGTTGTTGTGGCCTCTGCCAGCAGGTGGCGATGACACGTTCGTCTTTTCAACAGTTCCACAAATGAGCAAAACCTTCTGTCAGTCTGTCATCTGTATGACAGTGTTAAGAATAAAATCTACTTGCAGATGGACTAACACACTTTTGAATTTAATACAGTTCCTTCAGAGTGTTTAAACTGTTCATGTGTATTATTTACACTTGTATGTACCGCAGTATTCAGTCATGGTCATCAAACTTTCCTCACCTCTAAATAATTTCTCAGCTGCAGCCTCAACAGCAATATTTTCAATTTTTCTGTGTTTTCAGTCAGAATAAAGTGAAAAAAATATTTTATTAGATAGAACTTTATATCTTTTAATGGGCCTGATGAATCATTTTGGGGGAAACATATGAAATTGTGTCTGTTTGGGAGCAATAAGAAAGAAAAAGTTGTCCAATAATTCGTCGTTAGACTAGAAAGAAAGGGCGCTGCAGTTCGTGCTGCGGCCGCTGGAGGTCAGCCTGCACGAGAACCTGCGGTGCAGCCGTAGAAGAAGAGTGGAACCTGCGGTGCAGCCGTAGAAGAAGACGTGTCTCCGCTGCGGCCTGGTGCTGAGTTCGGGTTTCGCTGTTTTCTGTTTGCAGCTTAGCCTTCGCCGTAAATAAAACATTTTATTGGACATCAGACCGTCTGGACCGGCTGTACCGAACCGCTGCTCGCAGGTAAACCCGCACCTCTGTTCTGTCCTCGTGTTTGGCGCCAGTTAGCATGGAGCTATCGTTAGCACAGAGGGACTGAAGGCTGCAGTCAGTTCAAGCGTCTTTATTTACTGTCACAGAGCTGAATTCATGATTCAAACAGAACAGAACCAGAAGTTCTAGTTACACGTTATTCACTGATGATCCAGATCACTGCTTCTTCCGACGTCAGTCCGCTCAGTTTCCTTCAGTGTTGTTAAGTTCTCAGTAGAACCAGGTTAGCTGAAGGCTGCAGCGGTTCGTCAGGACGATGTGTAGCTCAAAGCACACAGCTGTTGAGTAAACTGAGAGGAAAAAAGCCAACAGCACTTCAACGCCTCCTTCACAGTCACACTAACTATGGTATTCATTCATCCAGGCCACACACCATCAGGGTCCACTGGTACTGACTGCCATCAGGGTCCACTGGNAACTAGTTACTCTGTGTTCGCATCTAGATACACTGTTAGTAACTAGTTACTCTGTGTTCGCATCTAGATACACTGTTAGTAACTAGTTACTCTGTTAGTATCTAGTTACTCTGTGTTAGTAGCTAGTTACTCTGTTAATAACTCGTTTCTCTGTGTTAGTATCTAGTTACACTGTTAGTAACTAGTTACTCTGAGAGTAACTCCTCAGCAGCAGCAAGTGGCTTGTTTAGTGCCATGCTCTTCTGTCAGTGTGACACAACGAGAAACATCTGAAAACAAAAGTATTGTTTGTTTTTAAATGTCTATAAGTAATCCTAAGTGGAGCGACGTCGTCTCCTCCGTCTCCATGCTGGTTTCCATCCCGCTCTGTGGGTCGCTGCCTCAACTCCCAGCGGCGCCCGTCACAGAGAACCGATCCAGTTTTACGTAGAATCTGCTGCAAACGTGGTATTGTTGAGGACGTGAGTGTTCAAGGTCTCGGTGGGTTCTGTTGAGTGAACTCTGATGTTCTCCGCTGTCAGAGGGGCGTGGCAGAGATCAGGGAGATCCGGCAGTTCCATTTCACCGGCTGGCCCGATCACGGCGTGCCGCTTCACGCCACTGGGCTGCTGGGATTCATCCGCCGCGTTAAGGCCAAGACTCCGCCCACCGCCGGCCCCACGGTCGTCCACTGCAGGTTCATGTTAATCGTCTGCAACGCACATCTGCCTCGCGCTGTTGTGCAGCTTCAGGTGTACGTAACACAACATTTGTGTGTCTGTGTGTGTCAGTGCGGGGGCGGGGCGAACAGGTTGTTTCATCGTCATCGACATCATGCTGGACATGGCAGAGAGAGAGGGCGTGGTCGACATCTACAACTGTGTGAGAGAGCTGAGAGCCCGGAGAGTCAACATGGTGCAGACAGAGGTACACAACAGACACACAAGAGACATGCTACAGATACACAACAGACACACAACAGACACACTAAACACACATTACAGACACAACAGACACAGTACACACACACTACACACACACACTACAGACAAAACAGACAGTGGCAGTAGGAGGATCACAATATTAACTGCCCCCCAGTAATTAATGCCCCTCCCCCCTCTCCAGGAGCAGTACGTCTTCATCCATGACGCCATCTTGGAGGCATGTCTCTGCGGCGACACAGCGATTCCAGCCAATCAGCTTCGGTCGGTTTATTATGAGATGAACCGACTGGACCCTCAGACCAACTCCAGTCAGATCAAAGAGGAGTTCAGGGTAATGTATTGATCTGGTCACTGCTTATCAACAAAGTAATCATCCATAGGCTCGTTATCTTTTCCTCCAAACATCCATCAGGCTTCTGTTCATGTTCTCTGGTGAACTTTGATGTGGAATAGAACAGAATGCCTTTGTTGTCACTATACACATGTACAATGAGATTAAGAGCAGCTCCTTCAGTGCAACATAGAACAAAGAACGAAATAAAAAATAGAAGAGATTTAAATATAAGATAAGTTATACATACAGTATAAGTTCTATGAACAGTATGAGTTTAGAAACATATTGCACAGCATGGTCAGAGGTGATATTG